CACGGGTAAAGAGATCACTAAATCTAGGTGAAAATGTAGAGAGAATGTGAGTTTTAGAGAGAGAGTCCTGATCTAGGGTTTTGGTGGAAAAAGATGTGAAAAAGTGATGTAAAAACGTGCTGTTGCGAACTGATATATGCACAGTCCGCTCGAGCGCAAAAGTTAACGCTCCAGCGCAAGAGTTGACGCTCCAGCGTTAGACACAATAAGTTGTTCCACTCGAGTGCAAGAAATGGTCGTTCGAGCGTAGAATACACATATCCAGCAGTTTTGTAGACGGAAGAACATCGCTCGAGCGTAAGAATGGCCACTCGAGCGCACACTCGCTTGAGCGTAGGAAACTTTGCTCAAGCATATAATACACTCTCCCAATAGTTTTGTAGACTTGTAAAAGTACTGAGAGTTTGCAAAGCCCGCTCAAGTGCAAGAAGTACTGCTTGAGTAGAGGAGCAAAAATCTAGGGAACAAAGGTTTGAAAATCAAGTAACCAACCTGTTCCAAATACAACAATTACATTCCAACAATCAAGTTTAAGGAAGAATGAGGGGAAAAGATATGAACAGCCATATAAGGTTATGAAACTTGAGTCCAGAATGCCAAAATGGATAGAGTTTAAACCAGAAACGCTCTATATAAATTATATATATGCACGTAAAAAAATTCAAATATCATATAAACAATCTCTAATAGGATGAAGAAATTTTTTGGTAGAAAATAAAAAGAGAATGCAAGATGGGAGAAAAATAAGATATATATCTTTTATACTAAGAGATCATTTTATTTATAAAATAAGATATATGTATATATATATCTATACTATATATATAAACAAATGTAGTGTGTTTTCAAAACTCTCCAAAACCTCAATACTAATTTCTCAAGGAAAGTTAACATTCTATCTCTTATGTGGCAGTTCTTGAACTCTCCCTAGCGCATTTCCCTAATTTTTAAAATTTTAATATTATAAAGAGTTAAATAAAAATTTACATAGTAACGAAATTTAGATAAGGATATGATTTGTTAATCTATATCTATAAAAAACATTTGTATCTAAATCTTTACTTTGATTTACTGCAACGCCTTAGAATAATTACTATAACCCATACTCAACATCAAAAAAGGATCTTAATGACAAAGTAGTTATCTTTTATTGATTGACAATTAAGCTGTACAAAAGAGTGATAAAATAGAAGGACAAGATAAAAGTTAGACAAATAAGAAATGCCCTAAAGGTTTACATCTTGCCAAGACGATACTTGGTTACAACAAAAGTGGACTTAAGTCTAATACAGTTAAAGCCCTTGGCTTGTACAAAAGTAAATACAGTAAATATACAAAAGAAACTCTCGCTTCATGTCCTCCCAAATAGCCTTAGCAGAGGCATATCATTAGCACCTGAAATGTTTTTCTCACATAGGGTGAGCCAAAGCCCAGTAGAAATAATTCATCACAGTGTATGAATCTTAACAAAGATATAAGGTGAATGTATATGCGATGTTCATGCTAAAACATTTTACGTTTCTTTCCAAAACCATGCAATACCAAGTTAAGATCATGGTTCATTAAACATTTCTTTTACTATAAGTAGGGCAATGAATTACACTCTGGGAATTCCAAAACAATACAACCTTTATTGGAAATTTTGTCCAGATGAAACTGTAATCGAAACCTATATAAACGTAGGCTATATAAGCACTACTATTGCCATTTCATGGAAATTTCGTCATTAGGATCAACATCCATGTATACGTGTGGTTTTTGGGACTTTCACCCTGGACATATAGGTCAACTTATTTGATGTAACAACAACTCCTTTCTAGGTTCACCCCTTTTCTCAAAACAATAACATTTTCAATGTAAAAGCGTGAGATAATGCTCAATGAAAATGAATAAGAAAAATATTTTTAATTCTCCTAATTCACATGCAATTTCTACAACACTCATAGCTATCCTCCACCGATAGCCTAAAACAGATATTTCTAAACAGATAAACAATGTTCGATAAAGATAAGCTTTCAAATTTCAAAAGGTGAGCGATAATACATATCCAACTCCACCATTCCCACCAATATCAACCTAATTTCACAGTTTCACTCTCAATTAGATAATTTATATAAAATCAACAATTGAAATATTTAGGGCGAAATCCCTTTTCTTTCCAAAATTAATCCCAATATTCAAAATCAACAATTTGTTCTCTAACGACTGGGTTTCTCTCCTTCTTTTCCTTCTTCTTCGCTTCATTCTCTTTTGTTCTCGTTGGATTTGAAACGTTCGGAAATAATTCTTGAAATGAAAGTCCTTAGTCTGGTTGTGTTCGATGTTGACTATCACTTGTTTCGGGAGGTGTCTAGAGTGCTCAGGAGCGAGGTAAAAAAAAAAAATTCTGGGCTGCGGGGCCAGGGCCGCACGTGCGGTGAGGGTTGAGTTGCTGAAGGTTGCACATTGCTTTAATTGCAGGTGCGGGATCAAGCGCCGATGGAAAGGTCGCACGTATGGGGATCAGTGCCGCATGTACGGGAAGGAGGCTCCGCATGTGCGAGAAGGGGACAGTCTGAATCTCTGTTTTTTTTTTGCTCTTTTGGCCGAGTTGTATCTCACTTAGGGCTCATTTTCTTTCACTCTAAAGGTTATGTTTGCTCTCCCTTCTCTCTAGGAAACCTCCTTTAACACCCAAAACTCTTTGATTTTGCATCTAGATTCATCATCATCCTCATCTCTACTTCTCAAACCTTGAAGATCAAGAACTAGGGCTTCACTTGGTGTGGTGGAAGTCAAGGGTCTCTCATCTTTTGGTTCTAGGGTTTTTCCTCTTCATCTTCTCCAGAGCATTGAGGTAGGGTTTTCTTGAGTTATATATACAAGTTGTGCCATATAAATGTTGATTGATGAGTTTTCTAGTAGTTCTCATGTTAGATTTCTATTTTTGAGCAAAATGTAGAGAGTTTTGAATGGGGGTTTTTAATCTCAACCCTAGATTAATCCTAAGAGGTTTTCCTTTTCATTAAACACAAAAAGGATGTTTTTGGTGAGGTTTCACTAAAAGAATGAGAAATGTTTGGTTTTGTTGAAAAACCCTAGAAATTGGGGATTTTGGAAAAAAATGATATGGAAATATCCATGGAATTCTTTCTCTTTTGATTTAAAGGATAAATTGATGTAGATTTCATAAGGGGGTTTGCATGAATGAGAATCTTATTGGTATATCGACAATGGGGGATTTGTTTTAAGAAACTATTTTTAGATGTATGATGTTATATGATTGTGAGATGACAATTTGTTGTGCACTATGGATTTGTGAAAATTATAAACATTGAGAATTAGTGTTTGAAAACATTACATGTAGTCTTGAAGAGGCTAACTTGGTAAAAAAAATTGTGCATGATGAGGAATGGTTGTTGCTATGAGTTGATAACATGATTATTTTTGTGATTGATATTGTTGTAGAGATAGTTGGAAATAGAGTAATGCTATGAAGTATAGGAAAGATCACTGCATGGCACACTCCTTCATTCATTAATTATGCATTGTAAATTCTAGATTGAAGACATTTACTTTTGAAAGAAATGATATTGTAATAAGAACCATGGAAGTGTACATATGGGGTAAATATGGTGGTAAGTCTGGATAGGGGGTGTAGATGATTTGATAAGTTGGCTTGAGTGTCCATGGTGAAAGACTAGAAACCTGCGCGGATAGGTGTCGAGCCTTTCGGTTAATACTGGTAAAAATGACAATTTGGTAGTACTTGTAGAGTGTACTTGTAGACACCAGCCTAGGGATTACCAGTGTCGTATTTACTGCCCCTATTGAATAAAATTGGAAGTTTTTGAAATGTGTTGAGATTGTAAGTTTTTATTGAGACATGGAAATCTTCAAGAAGAGCATGAAATGAAATTTCTTTAAAAGAGCATGGCGTGGCATTGGCATTTGCATCTTTATTGAGAGTTGCATAACTGTATATACTTTGTTAGAATTCTCTATTGGGCTTTATGCTCACCCCTATGGGATTTGGTGCAGGTAAATATGTGGTGATCTCGTCGAACTGAGGGCGTGGATATTTTTGAGAAGAGTAAATAGCTCTCTTATTTTTGTTATAAATTTTGTAAAGCCAAGGGCTAAAAGTGTATGGGTCCGAGAGACCACTTTTTGTAACCGGGCCATTGCCTTGGAAGATGTAAGCCCTTAAGGGCATTTTATTGTTTTGAGACTGGGTGCTTCACATGCTATACATTCATGTATATTTCTATCATTGAATATATAATCGCATGTGAAACTTTTGTAGAAACTCTCTTATTAACTATGTAAAGATGGGAGGTTTATGGTCATGGTTTAGTGAATGTAAATTAATGTGAGTAATTCATATTGTATTATTTCGGGACGTGACAACTTGGTATCAGAGCTACCAGGTGGTGGGAAGTGTTTGTTATACCATAATGGGTTCATTTCGCATGATTAGGAAATGTTTGTTTATCTGTGATTATGTGATAACATACTTACGTGACTATGTGGGTATGACATTGGACTTTTGGGATGTTATTTGTGCTTGTTAGATTCCTTGAAGTCTTATTAGAAGGGTACTTGATCAATACTCCTTCTACTAAGAATTTTTGGTTTCTCATGGGACGAATCTCATCACTAAAGGATAATTCGTTTGTGTTTACATGACAACGTGCTTATGTGGAGTGAATTAAATTGTTGTGTGTTAAGATGAATATAATTGTTATAGTTTAACGTGTGAGGCAAGTTGCGAGCACATTTGGAATGATGTGCTAAATTGTTTATTTTGGTTTTCAATTAGGATGTCGGGAAGGATTCGAACACGAGGTGGTAGGGATGGAAGGCGAGGTCCAGGTCGCTGGGGTGTACATAAGGTACTGGTTCATGAGATACCAGTGCAAGAAGAGGGTTTAGGCCAAGCTGACATGGCTGAACAAATGGGGCAAATGGAGGTGCCGGGGCAGGCCGGCTAAGACGCAATAGGGGCTCTAGCCCGGGAGATGGCGGGGGCATTGAGGGAATCCATGAACATACTTAGGGCAGAGACCCAAGCTAGAGAGAATGTTGCGGAGACAAGGACGAGCTTCTTCACGAGGGAGTTTTTGCGGGCCAAACCGGATGAATTCCATGGCGGCCCCGAGCCAAAAAAAGTGGATGAATGGCTTGAACAGATTGTGAAGACTTTCGAGATGCTTCACATCAAGAACAGTGAGTTGAGGGTGACCCTAACAAGTTACTATTTGAAGGGTGACGCAGGCCAGTGGTGGAAGTATGCCAAAGGCCGTATAGAACTGACATGGGAAGCATTTGTGGTGGCCTTCCAAGACAAGTATTTACCTCCTACTGCTAGGGAGAGGTTGAGGCAGGAATTCAAGGACCTTAAGCAACTGAATATGTCCGTGGTCGAATTTGAAGCGGCCTTTTCTAGTTTGTCCCGGTTTGCACCAGAATTGGTAGCGACGGAGGAGCGCCGTTGCTTTGAGTTCGAGTAGAGGTTGAGGATAAAGATTTTGTTCAAGGCAGTTGGGAACATGATCCGTAATTATGATCGTCTTGTAGAGGTAGCCGCACATGTGGAAATTATTGTAGAGGCCGAGGAGGAGAGACTTCAAAATTCGAGGTCTAGGGGCCAAGGGCCAAGGGCCACAGGGGGACTTTAGGCCTAACAAGAAGAGTAAGAGCACCTTTTTATCCCAATCCTAGCCGTAGCAGTCTAGATCTACTTTTCCCTTGCCTAGTGCGGGCTCGAGAAAGAGTGGGTTTTCTTGCTTCAAGTGTGGCCAACCGGGTCACAAGGACTTTGCATGTCCACAGAAGGGAGGAGGATAACAGATGTTGCCACCACCACCTAACCGATCTCAGAGTCAGTCTCAGAGTAGGGGTCAGGGGCCTACTTGCTATCAGTGCGGTCAGTCAGGGCACATGAAGAGAGCTTGCCCACAGTTGGGAGGCGCATCTGGCGCATCAGGGTCTAGGCAGACTTAGAGCCACCATCAGGCTCACTCAGCTCAGACTTCATGAGTTCATCGGGGAGTTGCTTCGGCTCAGTCAGTACAACAGGCCTATGTTCAGAGGGACGAACAGGTTGAGTAGAGGCCACAGGGGCGCGTGTATGCAGTTACCGCGCCAGAGCAGTTGCTAGGATCCTCGATAGTGACAGGTATTTTTATTTTGTGTAATTCTTTGGCCAGTGTGTTGATAGATATGGGTGCGTCTCATTCATTCATATCTACTGCATTCGCATCTACATTGGGGCTAGAGGTGACACAGTTAACATCTCCGCTCAAAGTAGAGTCTCCAGTTGGGGGTACAGTTGACCTAGATCAGGGTTGTCGTGGTTGCGAGATAGAGGTTGCTGGGCGTAGACTTCCGTTTGGTTTTGTGTTGCTAGGCATGTCGAGTTTTGACTTCATTCTAGGCATGGATTGGTTGTCTTTGTATCGAGTAGTGATTGATTATTTTTGTCGGAGGGTCACAGTGTGCACCTTGGGTGGTGATTGTTTTTACTTTCTGGGAGACCGGGTTGATAGGGTCTTGTTGCCAGTATTCGATCCTCGTAGTAGAAACGAGCTTAGTGGTCTTTTTGCTACTCTTTTAGATAATGAGAGTGGCGGAACTCGAGTTGAGTTGCCAAGGGTAGTTTGTGAATACCCGGACGTGTTTCCCAAGGACCTTACTAGTTTGCCACCCCACCGGGAGATTGAGTTCACCATTGACTTAGTGCTTGGAACGGCACCAATTTCTATGGCGCTGTATAGATTTGCACCCACGGAGTTGCACGAGTTGAAGATTCAACTCCAAGAGCTTCTAGACAAGGGCTTTATTCATCCTAGTACGTCACCTTGGGGAGCGTCGACTCTCTTTGCGAAGAAGAAGGATGGGTCATTGCGATTGTGTATCGACTACCGTAAATTGAATCGAGTCACTATCAAGAACAAACACCCTTTACCCAGAATAGATGACTTGTTTGATCAACTTAAAGGGGCTTGCTGCTTTTCGAAGATAGATTTGAGGTCGGGGTACCATCAGTTGAGGGTCCGAGAGAAGGACATCTAGAAAACGGCCTTTCCTACGCGTTATGGCCACTATGAGTTCCTTATAATGCCATTTGGGTTGACCAACGCACCGACTTCTTTCATGGATTTGATGAACCAGATCTTTAGGGAGTACCTGGATCATTTTGTGGTCGTTTTTGTGGACAACATCCTAATTTATTTGACATTTGAGGCGAAACACGAGGCTCACTTGAGGGTAGTGCTTGATTTGCTTAGAAAATACCAGTTGCATGCTAAATTTGAGAAGTGTGAGTTTTGGCTCACCGAGGTGAAATTTTTGGGCTATGCAGTATCAAGTGAAGGGGTAACTGTGGATTCTTCAAAGATAGATTCGGTACAAGATTGGGAGCAACCTAAGAATGTTTTTGAGATTTGAAGTTTCTTGGGGTTGGCAGGGTATTATCGGCGTTTTGTAAGGGATTTCTCTAGACTAGCCGCGCCTTTGACTAGGTTGACTAGAAAGGGGGTCAGCTTTGTGTGGAGCGAAGCATGTGACAGGTCCTTCCAAGAGCTAAAAACTAGATTGACTACGGCACTAGTGTTGATTATTTCGGAGAGAGGTTTGGGGTACACTGTCTTTTGTGATGCGTCTTGGGATGGGCTTGGTTGTGTTTTGATGCAAAGGGGAAATGTTGTAACGTATGGTTCACAGCAACTGAAAACTCACGAGAAGAATTACCCTACCTACGACTTAGAGTTAGCCACTGTAGTGTTTGTCTTGAAAATTTGGAGGCATTACTTGTATGGTGAGAAGTTTGAAGTTTTCTCCAACCACAAGAGCTTGAAGTATTTGTTTTCCCAAAAAGATTTGAATTTGCGTCAACGGAGGTGGATGAAATTTTTGGAGGACTATGATTTCGAGTTACACTATCATTCGGGGAAGGCCAATGTAGTGGCCGACGCCTTAAGTCGAAAAACCGTGAGTAGTTTGGCGAGTGTGGCCATTCGGGAATGGGTTATGTTGGGTGAAGTCGGCAAGTTTGAATTGCAATTGGGGGAGTCTGAAGAGGGTGCAACATTGTTTACTTTGAGTGCTCAACTTGTTCTAATTAGCAAAGTTGTAGAGGCGTAACAAGGAGACCGCAAAGTAAAGTTAATTCGTGGTAGAATCTCTGACAAGAAGGAAGAGAAGGGTTTGAACATTCACTCGGATCAGACTGTATGTTACCTAGATCTTCTGTTTGTGCCTGAATCTTATAGGGAGGTAGTGCTTCGGGAGTTCCATCACTCACGCCTTGCGGTACATCCGGGAGGCACCAAAATGTATCGTGATCTTAGCCATCAGTTTTGGTGGAGGGGTATGAAGCAGGATGTCGCATCCTTTGTGTCAAAGTGCCTTACTTGTCAACAAGTGAAGGTCGAGCATCAAAGACCAGCGGGATTGTTACAACTCTTACCTATAGCCGAGTGAAAATGGGAGCACGTTACCATGGACTTTGTAGTTGGGCTTCCTAGAACACAGCGGGCAATGATGCCATTTGGCTAATTGTTGATCGGTTGACTAAGTCCACACATTTCATTCCCATGCGTACTACCGACTCAGTTGAGCACTTGGCAGAGTTGTATGTTAGGGAGATAGTTCGGTTACATGGGGTTTCGTTAACCATTGTGTCAGATAGAGATCCTCATTTTACTGGCCGGTTGTGGCAAACCCTTTAAGAGGCATTAGGAACCAAGTTGACCTTTAGCACCGCTTATCACCCTCAAACCGATGGGCAGTCGAAGCGCATCATTCAAATTTTGGAGGATATGCTTAGGGCTTGCGTTCTAGATTTCAAGGGGTCTTGGGAGAGGCATTTATCGTTGATTGAGTTCTCCTACAATAATAGTTATCAGGCCAGTATCGAGATGGCATCGTTTGAGGCCTTGTATTGCCGACCTTGTAGATCGCCTGTTTGTTGGGCCGAGGTGGGGGATGCACCGTTGTTGGGTCCGGAGATTGTTAGGGAGACAACCAAGAGGGTTGCCCTCATTCGCAAGAGATTAGCTACGGCTCAGAGCCGACAGAAAAATTATGCCGATAGGAGGAGACGACTCTTATCGTTCGAAGTGGGTGATCATGTGTTTCTTAAGATCTCACCTAGGCGGGGTCTAATGAGATTTGGCAAGAGTAGGAAGTTGTATTCGAGGTTCATTGGGCCTTTTGAGATATTGGAGAGGATCGGGGAAGTGTCATACCAGTTAGCCTTGCCGCCACAACTTTTCGGGGTTCACAATGTGTTTCACGTGTCCATGCTTAAGAAGTATGAACCCGACCCTTCTCATGTATTAGATTGGGTTGATTTGGAAATAGATGAGGACGCCTTTTATGAAGAGCGACCGGTTCAAATCCTATATACCCGAGAGCAAGTGTTGCGGGGTAAGACCATACCGTTAGTGAAGGTGTTATGAAGACACCATGGGATTGAGGAAGCAACATGGGAGAGGGAAGTAGAAATCCGCTCCAAGTATCTGGATTTATTTGAGCATGTTTAGTTATTTTGCTTGACGTTGTAATATTCCCTTGTGCTGAAAGGAAAATGGTGTTAAATTGTTGATCGCAAGTCGTTGTATGTATTATTAACTTGAGCATGAGTGTAGACGTCCCTGAACGCCCCGGGAGGAACGAGCTCCCGTTCTGTTCATTTGGGGTCACTACAGCTCAGGACTCTCAAATTGTCACGGTTCTAAGTCTGAACCAAAGAGTCCAAATCCGGCAAATCGTTTTGAGAAAACAGATTTTTTTGAAAGAAGTGCCAAACATGGACTGCTTTGCCAGATACAGAGTCGCCACCTAAATATTTTAAAATGGGAGAATTTAGGAAACCCTGACTCGGTGCCAAAAGGCCACGCGTCCGTCATCACCAAAGTTGCCTCGGCTCGGGAACTTGGGTACGATTGGGAAAGGTCACTGCGTGAGCACCCCCGCTCGCCTAGTCAGAGACCGGCCTCTACTAACCATGATATCAATTTTTGAAAACATTGTGAGTTCTTATTCCGGTTTATTAGCCTAGGTTACTATGTGATGCGCACAGCATATAAGTATAGACCGGGTCGCCCGAATTGGAACAAAACATTTCATGCTTGTTTATTTGAAAATGGTTTGATGATGCAACTCGCAAGTAGGCTAAGACGTGGATTTGCCACCCTCGGGTGGACTTAGAAAAATGTGATTTTGCCACTATCTAGTGGGCTTAAAACAAAAAAAAACTCATAGTCAACGAATTGTTCCAATCCAAATAACCCAACCTTCACCCACAGGCATTCAGGCAGTTATATGTGTGGAGTGAGACTTGTGAAAAGTCATTCCAAGATATTATAAAAGTTAGTTCCATAGTTTCCAACGATTCTTAGAAATGGCCCATATCTAATTCTTGGGAGATTAAGGAGTGGATTTCTTCTACCCCCTAGTCCCTTAAGCACTCCAAAGATTCTCTGGATACCCCTATCTTGGACTT